TGTCCGGCGGCAGTGGGAAGTGACAGGCTGCTCCTGGAGAAACAGTCAGGTAGCAAAAATCAGCGTGAAGGATTAACCGAGAGAGCAGTTCGCTTGTTCTAAGCACGGCCCCTCGGTTGGAAAGGGAAGAAACCGGGATGCCATTTCTCTCAGCTGTTTGTTTCCAAGCCCCTCTGAGTCATAGGCATCAAGAGGTTTTCAACTGGATGACTGTGGCCCTTTCTGGTTTTAGGCACAGACCCAGCCATTATTTGGGCACAGGGCCATGTGTACTTCAGCAGAAGGGGTAGCCAGCTGCAGGATTGGGACACTTAGGAGGCAAAGCACCTGGGTTATTTCACTGGTCACAGCTGGAGTTGGAGTTAGCTCTTGCACCTTTTACTGTGGGTGGCTGGAAGCAGGAAGAGGATAGGGTAAGGACGGATGCTGTGGGTAAGCGTGAAATCCTGCCTCAGTACAAAGTCAGGTGGTGGAGGGCTGGTTATTACTGAGACTCAGCACCGGCACCCTTCCAAACCCAATCTTCTGGTAAATGGGCATTTCTGGGTGTGACTTTTCAGCTCAGTCTTGCTCTGGCTACCCTTTGCTATACTGCAGTTTTATAGGTGAGAGTTAACATTTGTGTGGTTAACAACACTGAAATGTCTATGCATCTAATTGGGGGACCCAACTGGGTAGCTTGGGGTGTTTTTACACATGCTCCAGAGGTGAGGGGCGCTTTAATTAGAGTAGCTCCGAGAGCCGCTCCAATGAAAGCTCCCGCAACGTCTTGTGTATCAGTGTCCTCGTGCTTCAAAATTGTGGTGGGGGCACTTTAACCAAAGCTCAGCCAACAAGCTGTAGTTAAAGCACCCCTGCTGCCATTTTGAAGAATGGGGACGCTGGTACATGAGATGCAGAAGCTGCTGGAGCACACTAATTAGCACGCTTCAGCAGACTCACTCCAGTCTGCTCTTACACACCGTAATTAAAGCATGTCAGAGCAGCCTCCCCACGCATCTACAGGCACCCTTGGGACTTAGCCTTGTAGCTGGACTGTTGCACCCACAAAGAGCCCTACAAGATCCAGCTCTTGATATATGGCCATTGCAGTTTTAATTATATTAACTCCTTGTCATTTTCTTTGCCCTCCAATAGCTGGAAATAGGGAAGGTTATTATAATTTTTTTTAAATCTGTTTTTGAGTATAGTATAAAGTTAAGGGAAGAGACATTGTAATTCTGGATCACTATTATGCTTACTGAGAAAAATGTTACTAGTGTGTATATCAGAGGAAGAAGAAGTATACATCCTCTTTAGCCTTGCTTATCGTTAATTCAGGTCTAGTGTTTACAGAACTCCATTATATTCTTGCTGTTAGATTTCTATGACTGAAAAATTTGTTCAGATCAATAATCAGTTTCTAATATTTTTTGATCCTGTATGTATATCAGTTGTATTTATGTAAAACTGACTTAAAGTGATTGCCACTTACTTTTGATTTTGTGAAACTCTGTTCTATAATTGTGGGGAAACTTTTTTTCAAATGTTGTTCGTTAACTGCAAATTCATAGATCTCATAGACATTAGAGCTGGAAGGGACCTCGCAAGATCATTGGGTCCAGCCCCCTGCCCAAGAGGCAGGAAGTCAGCTAGGGTCAAAGGATCCCAGCGAGATAGGATCCAAGTGTTTCATGAAAGTGTCCAGAGCAGGTGCTAGCACTACTTCTGGGGGGAGTCTATTCCAGGCCATGGAGACTCAGACAGTAAAGAAGTTTTTCCCTATGTTCAACCTAAAATGGTCTTCCATGAGTTTGTGACCATTAGACCTTGTCTTCCCTTGGGGTGCCCTGGTGAACGGATGTTCTCCCAGTTGCTGAGGCACACCCCTTATGTATTTATAGGCTGCCACCAAGTCACCCCTGAGCCTTTGCTTCTCCAGGTTGAGGAGTCCCATGGCTCTCAGCCTCTCCTCATAAGGCCTGCTCTTTTGTCCTCTAATCATGTGTGGGGCTCTTTTCTGGACTTTCAAGCTTTTCCACATCCTTTCTGAACTGCAGAGCCTAGAATTGAATGCAGTACTCCACCTGCGGCCTCACCAAGGCCAAGTAAAGTGGGAGGATGACTTCCTGGGTTTTGCTTGAGATGTATTGGTAGATGCAAGCCAGAATTTAGTTTGCTTTGCCAAGCTGTGGCATCACATTGGTAGCTCATGTTCATCTTGTGGTCAATCATGACCCCCAAGTCTCTTTCAGTCACGGTGGTAGTGAGTGTAGCACTGCTGAGCCTGTAAGTGTGATGTGAGTTTTTTCTCCCGAGGTGGAGAACCTGGCATTTCTCTGTGTTGAATGCCATCAGGTTTTTGATCTGACCATTTTACGAGCCTGTCAAGGTCAGCCTGGATCACCAGCCTATCCTCTCGGATGACTGCACTCCCCCATAGTTTGGTGTCATCAGCAAACTTGGCCAGTCCGCTTCTGACACCAGAGTCCAGATAATTTATAAATACATTAAAGAGTACAGGCCTGAGAAAGGAGCCCTGGGGGATGCCGCTGATCACCATGGACCACATTGATTCGGTTCCAATGACTATACCATATTTCATCTAAAAATGAAGCTTTGGGAGGCTCAGGGATGGACATTTAATTGTTTGGTACCTACATTACTCCCATTTACTTTCTACCTGGGTATCTAAGTAGAGAACAATTATATACATTTTACCTTGGTGCATAACATGAAATCATATACAAGGCACTGTAAAAATGCCAAGAGCTGGGATAGATACTGATGAGGATGACAACTACTAGAAATGTTTCTGTTGTCTCAGTAATCCCTGGTAGTGGTTCAGTGTGATTCCTGATAGTAATTCAACGAGACACATCCCTAGATGTATTGTAATATTTCTTCTTGAAAACAGTGCCCTCTTAAAATGATATAGTAGTTCTTAATTTATCAATAGTTCTTGTTCTTTCCCTCTTTTCTTCTAACAATTGATTTTTTTTTCTTTCTTAAGACAGTCTCATGTTGCTTTGAGTGACAGTTGCATCCTTGCCTCATCCTATACTCCCAACTCTTACTGACGTCAACAGAAGTTCATTGTTGGAACTCTCAACTCTCATTAACTGTCTCCCCAGATGGGGGCCCTGAGTACCACACAGGATTGTGCCCTAATAGACACAGTGGTGTTTCCAGGGTAAATGTCTCCCAGGAGGAGAGAGCTGAGGGGCTGCCTGTCCTTCCTTCCTTGCTTGCTTGTTTGCTTGCTTGCTTCCTTCCTCCCTTCCATCCTCTGTTTTGTTTTAAAGCTTTTAATACAACTAAAGCTTTGGAAGCTCTCATGAGTGATCCACAGGATCGAGTCCTAGCCTCTGCTGTTCAAATGCTCTGCTCTTCAACAGGCTTCCTTTGTGACTACCTCTACCTGTGTCTCCTAGGATAAGTTACTTAGTCTCTCAGTCTCTCACGCCTAAATCACCAAGTGGCAGTAACAACAAATCCCTACCTCCCTGGGGCACTGTGAGGATAAATACACTAAATGTTGTGAGGTACTCAGCCCACACTATTATAATAAGGGCTGTGTAAGTACATTAGCAGGGGGAAGAGGTTGGGCAGGAGACTTGTAGAGAAGAGAGGTTAAAATTATTCTTCCTCCCTGAAAAATACAGAACTGAACAAACTGACAATAAGTTCCAGGGCTTTATGCAGTGATTACGGACATGCAGTGCAAATATAGAAAGACTCTAGTGTAACTTTGTTCTTTCTGATTGCTCTAAGCTACATTTCTCTCCAGACTTCACATTAATAGTTTGCCACTTTAAATGTAAATAAAGAATATATAAAGAAATGCACAAGAATAAAAGCACTCTGCAGGTAATATAATTGAAGGGCTGTAACTTGAATATTTCATATGCTATCTTCCAGCAAATGCTAACTTTCCAGTGCTAGGGATTTCTGTGCCCAGTGCTAGCAGCAGCTATCTATTTTGCTGAAAAGGAATGCATTTGTTAGCCTGTTGGCACAGCAACCAAGCACTAGAGCATGTTGATCCTGGTTTCATTAAGTCCTGCAAAGATTTAAACAAGTACTTAATTTCATCACTCTTAGTGTCACCAGGACTGCTTGCAGTGCATAACAGTATGCACTTGCAAAAGTCTTTGCACGGTTAGGAGCTTTAGTGTGTAATATATTTTATGCCAGTAAGCCATCAGTGAAGCAGGATAGGAGCTTGCTTAGGACCCCTCACAAAGGACTCCAAGCAGGATTGGTCCCCCTGGCAAAATGGCTTAAGTACTAGGTGTAATTAAAATAGATTTATTTCTGAGTACATTTCACAGTTTAATATCTGTCTAGAAACTGTTCTTGACCTCCCAACCCTTCATAATTTTATGCTCTGCACAGTGGGAGCAGTTTTTTATATGAATAGTCCTGGACATAAGATAATTAGAATGGAAAAACTTACCTGTTAGCAGTTCGGGTTTTTTTCCATAGATTTTTGACTATACCATAATATAAGGGTCAGTTAATATGGAAGAACACAACACTGCAAGTAATGAGGTACATCATAGCATAGGGCATCTACAGTCCTATCAGAACAGTATCGTGGAGTCATAGAAAAATATGGTAGAACTGACCTCAAGAGGTCATCTAGTCTAGCCCCCAAGTGTTGGAAGTGCAAGTGTCTGTTACAGTAACACTGAAACTATGCTGCATTGTAAAACAACAGAAATATTTTTTCCCACTTACAAACTGGGTTCAAGTTGGATTAATTTAGCCCAACCTCTCCACTTTACTGTCCACTACAGCAGTATTTCAAATTATACCTCTTTGGCCTTACGTTGCAACAAGTAAATACTTGGGTTTAGGTACAAGGGGGTCTTAGAAGCATTTAAAGGCAACTGGTTTCTCACAGGGTGGCTTGGATTTAAATCAAACCAATTTAAATCACTGGTCAGGAAACCTTGATTTAACCCTTTATTTGTTTTACAAAAAGTGTGTTTTTGTTGTTGGATATCCTTTATTCATTTAACTTCTTGAAACTTTGCACTTTACAAAAAGTAAGGGCTTGACTTTGTACACAAACTTGCAGAGAGACAACAGGGCTGATGGGTGGGTAATCACGTCTGTTATCTCATTTCCATATACTGCTACCAAGGTTGTTATCTAAGGAGACAACAAATTCTCCCTGTGCCTGAAGAAGGGTGTTTGTGCCCAAAAGTTTGCAAAGAACAATTTCTCCAACTACTTAGTTGGTCTAATAAAAGATATCACATCTACCCAAAAAACCTTGTCTCCCTATGATCTCTGGAGAGACAAATCCACAGTTTGAGAACTGAAACTAAGCATCACAGAGATGCTCAGTGGGATCTTCTTCTAGACTGATTTTGATATATTTTTTAAAAACTGTTGATTTTTATCCATCCTGGTTTTTCATACTAATTTACAAGTTTAACAAATTGTAGCAGAAAAGTTGACCATGATGGAAATATGAAAAGCACTTTGATTCTAGCTGTTCTGTCTAATGCAGAGGTTCTGAAACTTTTTCTTATTGCACACCCCTACCAGATTTACCAGCTGCCTGCGTATCTCTATCCTCCCTCCCCCACAATATGTTTTGTGTACCCGTAGGGGTACATGTACCACAGTTTGGGAACCCTTGTTCTAGTGAATCCTATTAGGCCAGATAGATGGACTCCAGCCCTTTTAAAGCAAAACAGTCACAGTATTTGTGTGCTAACTTCACAAACCCTTCCCTTCGTATACATCCTATTTCATCCATTTTCATTACAATGCTTCCAAAGCCATAATGTGGTGGCTAAGCTATTGAGTGTCATGCAATGCAACTTCTTCCTGCACAGTGACTAACTTCTTATTCAGTTGTTGAAAAGCAAAAAAGGAATAAGAACTGTCCACTTGAAAAGTGCAAGTTCAAGAGCATAAATGCACCGTACAGAAAGGCACTGAAAAATTTGGTGATAGCAAAAGCCATAAAAGGTGAACCCTCTGCCTCTCTATTTAACATTAAACTGATCTTTTTTCCATTATGGCTTTTTTTGTTAGTTGGTAGCAGCAGTTCAGCAGGAACAGGAAGAAGGGGAAGTTTGGTAAAACTGAGTGAGTGGGGAAATGAGGGTGGCTATGTGACATACAAAGTGATGGGGATAAAATAGAGAAGTCCTTGGTGTCATGAGAACAATTTCAAAACTGCTGGCAAATGAATATGTCACTCTGTCACCTGCTAAAGCAGATGTTCTCAGGCTCACGTGCACAACCCCAGCTTTACAGTGGCAGCATTCATGTTGAATGTACTATTTTTGTCAATTCAGACTGACCTCAAAACTTACCTTTAATAATCAGACTACAGCAGTAATTGTGACTGGGTCTCCTGATACCCCTGGATAGTTTATCCCCATTCACTAATTTAAGATGGGCTGGAAAATCTTCATGCACCCTTGGCAGATCACTTTTCAGATGGTATTCACTGCTGCATCGTGTTCAAGGGGCCTACATGTCAGAGATGGGTTACTTGTGTGCACCTATCAGTTGGATGCACCTGGATGCTACAAGGGTCAAGGACCCTTAGAGAGTCTTCTTCCCGTTCTCTTGTTGCAAGATACTAAAGTCCTCCTATGGTGTTTCCCTTCTTTCTCTCCCTAGATTAAACAGAGATGGCATTTGTGAAGAGTGGATGGCTCCTGCGGCAGAGTGAGTGGTGAATCATTTGCCTGTTCTCGGTGCATATGCCAGCAGCATGTCTAACTCTTTCTTCTGGAAGAATCACAATGGAAAAATATTACCCAAGGATCTTATTTAAATGGGTCTCCAAGAATGTTGGGGATGGTCCTGCTTTGAGCAGGTGGCTGGACTAGATGACATCCTGAGGTCCCTTCCAACCCTAATTTTCTACGATTCTATGTTCTCAAGGACCAAAGAAAATGACCTATCTTAATAACGCCCCCCCCCCCCGATCCCTGGGATTGTATAACAGTCTGGACCCTACAGATCGAAGGGACCACCTTTCCCTTATGTCCCATCTCAATCCCTAAGGTTGACTGAAAGTAACCTCCTGCAAGTACAAAATGCACCAAATTTAATTGGTACAAACATGTCGGAAGTCATTTTCAGCAGTAGTACCCTCTGCTCCAGAATGTCTTCCCCATTGTGGCCTGCAAAAATTTGAACCTGGATATCTTCCAAAAGTGCTGCAAGACCTTTATATGTGTAACGTTAAACTGAGGAATTTTTGTTCTATACATATTATTTAATATTTTACCTGCTTTTATAAGTTTATTTTTCCTTTTTTTAGTCTACATGGCCTTGAGCCTTGTATTGGGAAATGTAGCATATAAATCTAATAAATAAATAAATAATGGAAATGTCATTCTTGAGGGTTTGGTAGCCTCAAGCATTGGGCTGTATGCTTAAAGTAAATTGCATTAGTGACCTTCATCTTTAAATAAGAAACACTGGGCCCAGCTTTACAATGCTTGCCCTTTCATTGTTTTTAAGCTGGGATTTCCTTATGCAAAACCTATTAACAGAGAGTTTTGGGGAACTTAGAATACCCTGTTTCCAGAATCAAAGTGAAAAGCTTTTTTGGTCATTTTTTCCTAAATGGATAATAACATTTTGCAGTCAGTGTCCTCAAAATAACTTTGTTCTTTCAGGTACTATTTTACGGCGTTGGAAGAAGAACTGGTTTGACCTGTGGTCAGATGGTCATTTAATATTCTATGATGATCACAATCGGCATGACATAGAGGATAAAATCCACATGCGAGTTCACTGCATCAACATCAGAGTGGGAAATGAATGCCGAGGTAGTATGTGTGGGCTTTGATTTTTTTTTTTTTTTTTAAAGCTGTTCTCTAGCTAGGTCTGTTTTTTTTTGTAATCCTGCTGGAAAACTAAGGAAGTAAAAATGATCTGAAAATGCATTCTTTCAGTTCCAGGTGTCACTGTAATGACTAAAGAGAGTGTTTCTTTCTCTTTTTTTAATGTGGTGTTCCTAAGTATTAGAATGTGATAGAGCATCTCAGAGTTTGTTGCAGTTCTATAAAACAAATGGAGCAATGATAATCTTCTAGCAAGTCATACTGGTTAGAAGGGAGGTGAGATAGGTTGCTACCTACCTGTAACCAACTGATGATCCTAATACAGTGCACTTCCGTTAGATATGGAGGAGTTGGAAATGACTTGAGGCTGGGATTGGTGGGGGAGGCAAGAGAACAAGACAAGAGAATCATCCTTCTGCAGCCAAAATACTATCAATCATATTTATAGCATGTATTATTTTGTTATAGGGTCCATCACTGAAAAGTGATGCCTTTCCAAAGGCACCTTTCCTCAAATCCTAACACAGTCTTAACTGGCAGTGTGTGAAGTGGTGTGAGGATGTGCTAGTGTATTTTTACCATGCAAATATGGTCTCAGACTAGGGTTCCTGTGGGGGATCTAGTAAATGAATCTTCCTCCTGAGAGTCTCCCTATGACTCTCCCTATGCCTGAAGAAGGGTGCCTGTGGCCAAAAGCTTGTAAAGAACAATTTTTCCAACTATTCAGTTGGTTTAATAAAGATATCACATTTACCCAAATAACCTCATCTACCTATGTCCTTAAACCAACATAGCTACAACCAACACTCTTTATAATTTAATGTGTTTATCTCTCTTAACCAGCTGAAGCTTCAGTATAAATGACATGTGGTGTGCAGGGCTGTTGTATCTCTCTCAAACCACAGAACTGCTGGGGAGAACTGCTCTGAAGAGTTGCCATCTGTGCTTTCAAATACTGATTTCAGATGAAGGAAGGAAACCAATTTGAAAATTAAACCTGGTCTCTGACAAGGGATCCTTAGCACTACAGTGACACAAATAAACTGTGTGTGTTTGACTGTGTTCTTTTTTTTTTTTTTTTTTTTACCTTTTGGGGCAAGGAAGAGCTGTACATGTGATTTTTGTCTCTAGTGGAACTTTCAGTCTCAACATGCTGCAGACAAGAACAGTGGGAGTGGAGCTGGTTAGATGGCGATCTTCCCTAAGAGCATTCCATTTGTAGCCAGTCCAAGCTGTATTATCTTTTTCCTGACCTGGTGGGACCTCTGGGAGATTAACACTTCTATAACTGAAGCTTCTTGCTGTGCTCAAAAGTAGCTTGATGGATTAAAAACACTGGATTTAGAGCCCTCAAGGAGCAAAAGATTTAAGATTGTTTGTTTTCCAAAGTATCAATTTTTTTGCCTCTCTTTCGCTTTTTCCTGGATCAGATTTCCAGCCTCCAGAGGGGAAGCCAAGAGACTGCTTACTGCAGATTGTTTGCCGTGATGGGAAAACAGTTAACCTCTGTGCAGAAAGTGGAGATGACTGCTTGTGAGTTTCCCCAAAAATGTTTTCAACTGCTTCCCTTCTTTCCTGCTGTCTTACCTTTGGTTGTGTTGCAATTCCAAACAGCCAGTGCATATAGTATTCTCCTCCTTTCCTGTGCCAATAAAGGCAATTCCTACATTGGGTTGGTATTTTATAGAAACTTAATTTACCTAGTGAGGAAATTACAGCTTCTGTGTAGCTCTATACATGTCAAACTAGCTGCATTATCTAAAACAATAAAAAGTAAAGGAATTTCATTAGGGCTACTGGGAGACAAGATGATTCATGGAATTTAACTTGGCGTAGTTTAGGAAAAAGTCCCAGCTCTTCTGGACTTCCTTCATGATAATGTATACTGAGGAGGAAAATGTTCTTTTAATTGGGCTCTCTTAATTGAGCCAGCCTCTTGTAGAGCCTTTCCTTCCTAAGTCACAGTTTGGGAAAGACAGGGTTATGGGACCCAGAGCCTGTCCTTCTTTTCAGTTTACGATCTTAACAGTGCCCTGCCTTCAGCTTGGCTGCAGGTCTCCTTCCTCTTCATTCCTGGCCCTTTATTTGTTGTCTCTTGTATTGAGTATGCAAGCCTCCAGAACAGCCCATGTTGTTCCGAACATAGGCCTAACATCTTCTTTATATGATAACTATGTGCATATATCCTAGTATAGTATTAGCCTACCCCTCTAAGAACTTGGGTAGACATTTCCAAATTATTTGCCTGCTGAAATTTGGCTTTTATGATACCTTTTCAGTGTCAACTCTTTTTCATAATCTTAAAATAAATACCAAATATTTTTATTCAATTAAATGATGTTTCTTGCAGGGCATGGAAAATTGCTCTCCAGGATGCCAGAACAAACGCAGTAAGTATGTGGTGAATATGAAGAAACATGCCCGAGTGTCAGTTAGTAGCCTAGCAGCTCATTTTGTGTTTCCTTCAAGAGCTCATTTGACTACTGTGCTTTATCCCTCTATGGCTTGGCCAGAAAGGGGGTATGACTATTACAGATCTGGTACCCACAAATCTGGGAAAGATGGGTTGTATGACAAAGCCTGGTGGCTTAAAGGGAAAGAGCAATGCACTGGATCAACACAGCATTTCTGTTGCAAGGCCTGTCCAAAGTGGCATTGTTAAAGGTTGGCAGGAATGTGCTTCTCTCATGGAGATGGGAGAGTGAGGATTGGAGCTGTGGCCAATGATGAAATGTTTTGTAACTGGTAAAGATATGTTTTCTGACTTTCTCAACTTTTGCTGCCTATTGGTAGTAATCCACAAGGAAGCCATGTGTGTACATGTGTGTAGGGAGGCCTCTAGCTTTAATGAGCAACTCATGTAGCAGATGCAAAATTTGCCTTTGCATTGTACATTTTTGCAGAAATCATGCTGTATAGGGCTAACTATAGGACATGAGCAAAAATGGTTCATATTGTGTAATAAATAAATACATGTATAAAAGCACATTGCAGGCATGAGGTGTAGCTTTTTCCAACTAGTGCTGTATCTATGAATCCAGAGGGCGCATCTACACATGAAATTAATGCTCAGAAAGCTCACTGCACAGTAAAATAATATGCAATAAGCTTCCTTTGAGCACACATCTACACATTCACTCTTCAGGAGCAAATTTGGTCCTGATGAGAGCAGTTCAGGGCAGGGATACTTTTGCCCTGCTCTGTAATTATATGGTAGCCAAGGAGAGCTCTAGGCTCCCCTGGGTGCCAGCCCCAGGCTGGCAGGGGGCACTGCTGTCATGCCTGGGCTCTGGGAGTGGGGGGAAATGTCCTGCCTCCAAGGCAGCTGCCTCCCACCATGCATCCTTGCCTCGGGCAGTTGCCTGCTGACTAACCCTCACTGATCATTGAGCTGGGCTGAGACAATGTTCCACTGCCCCGGAAGCAAGCAGCTC